AGAAGGGGGGAGTGCACTGGAAGTCGTGGGCTTCTCTCTGTTTTCTTAGCTCTAAGGTGAGAAACTACCAGAAAAGTTCGTTGAATTCAGGAGCTAATGCTTGAAAGGTCGTGTTAAGATGGGTTCTGTACAAAGTTATAAATAAAGGTTCATTTTGTTATTATGAGCCTGCCTTTGGTTTTGATCACGTTCCATGCGTGGGAACAAGTTCTGGGGACTTCAATAACTAGAGATTTTGTGTTAACAACTGTTGACATCTCTCAGGGTGCTGTGTGTCATGTTTTGAAGGCTTTGCATCCACCCCTTTTTTAAACAGAGGAGTTCTTTGAGACCCAGAGCATTTAAGTGTGTTTCCCAGGGGTTTCCCAGTGGCGGGTCTGGGATTTGTTGTCTCTCCAGAGCTGGGCCCTATAGCTTTTGTCTCAGAGATAAGTAACAATTGAGGGTGTTATTGTGAATGAGCTACCAAAATCTGTTCTGTGCATGGTCTCTCCCTTCACCACCACCCCCCACCCCACCCCAGGGAGTCGACATTCGCCACAATAAGGACCGAAAGGTTCGACGCAAGGAGCCCAAGAGCCAGGATATCTACTTGAGGCTGTTGGTCAAGGTGAGACTGGGACCCGAGATCCCTGGACAGGGATCCCTGGACTGCCCTGGGATGGTAACTTGTAAACCTCCATTGTGGTGTTGGTACCAGAGGCCTGCAGGGCAGGCTCACATCTCTGACTCTATCCAGGAATTTCTGGAGGTTCAGTGTTTTCAGTCTCTGGATCAGGATGAGGGGGGAGTAGTTTTCTGGGTCCCTGCCCCAAAGGAACCTGGGCCAGTTCTCTGCCAGGGACTCAGTGGGAGGAAAGAGAACCATAGAAACTGCTGCCAGACTGAACTGTCATTTTGTTGTAGAGCAACCCCGATACCTTAACAATTTGTCTGCTCCTTCGTTGGAAAAAAAAGTGTGGGCTGCCCCAGGCTCTCATTCTTCCTTGCCTTTCTCCAGCTATACAGGTTTCTGGCCAGACGGACCAACTCCACCTTCAACCAGGTCGTGCTGAAGAGATTGTTCATGAGTCGAACCAACCGGCCGCCTTTGTCCCTTTCCCGTATGGTGAGGCTGGTGCTTGGGAACACAGCTGAGCAGACCTGGGGGAATGGCAGGCTTAGAGCTCTATGGGGGCAGTCTGGCTGTCAGCGGGGGCTGGGGGAGCGCAGAGCTCTGATACGCCCACTAAAAAGGAATAACTGGGTTTTCAGCTGCCATTGGCCTCTTGGAGTATGTTGCCTCCTCATTGTGAGTTGGGGTGGCTGTAGCGGCTTTATGAGAGATATCTGAGACTTCGAGCCATATAACCTGGCAGGGTGTATGATAGTCTGCGTGTAGCCTCTCATCTGGAGCTCTTCCAGGCTAGAGCTGAGATTGTGCTTATGCCAGTGTGGGGTGTGGCACGGGCACAAACTCTCCTGGTCCTTGGGCAGGAGGACTGCTGGTGCAGTGGCTTTGGATTTAACACCAGGAAGGGCTTCTTCATAGTACATCCATTTCTCCTCCCCCAAAGATCCGGAAGATGAAGCTTCCTGGCCGGGAAGGCAAGACAGCCGTGGTTGTAGGAACTATAACAGATGATGTGCGCATCCAGGAGGTGCCCAAACTGAAGGTGAATGCAGTGGTTGGCTCAAACCTTGTCTGCTGTGGTGCTGTCAGTCTTGGTGATTCAGGGTACAGGAGATTTGGGGGGGGGGGACTGCCATTGTCATGAGAGACGGGGCTGCCCCTGGGTAGTACCCTTCTGAAGCCCTGTTGACAGTTGTCGCTTGGCCTAGTTCAAGTATAGATTTCTCTGCCACAGTATCGCTTCTGGACTCAGTGCTGGATATCTCCTTGCCTCGGTTTTCTTACTCGAAATAACTTTGGCTGTTGCCCTCTTAGGAGCTCCTAGAGGTCAAGTGGGGAGAGCTGTTGTCCATTGGGCAGGCTCTCCTTTTATTGGTGCTGTTGGGTCATCGGGCTGGGCTAGCGCATTGGGCTGTAAGACCCAGCAGCTCCTGTGGGGTTATTCAGGGGTTTCTGACACCCCCTTCCTGTTCCATGTTCAGGTGTGCGCACTGCGGGTGACAAGCCGTGCTCGCAGCCGCATCCTCAAGGCTGGGGGCAAGATCCTCACCTTTGACCAGCTGGCCCTGGACTCCCCCAAGGGCTGTGGCACCGTCCTGCTGTCTGGTGAGTAATGCCCAGTGGCTTCCCTGTCTAGGACCCAGATGAGGACTGGGGGAGGGGGTCTTGCCTGGCCAGTGTGAGCAGTGACACCTTTATCTTCCCTCCCTGGAAGGCCAGTGATCTCCCCCTACCAAACTGCAACCCTGGAGGGTGACATCTGAGGTGGTGTAGGTTCTGGGCCCCACCTCATCCCCTCCTTTTTTTCCCAGGTCCTCGAAAGGGCCGAGAGGTGTACAGGCATTTCGGCAAGGCCCCAGGCACCCCGCACAGCCACACCAAGTAAGTATAACCAGCCCTGCCCCTGCCCTGACTGCCTGCACCCCACCCTGCAGGCCTTGGGTCGCCATGCTCCAGGGTCTTTTTCACATCCCTCCAACCCAGCACCTCCCTATAACTCCCCGCCTCCTCTCCTCACCTTTCTCTTCAAGAGGCAGCTGAAAGCTATGCTGGAGTTGTTGAGGTCTCAGTACATCCTGCATCCGGGTCTTTAGATGGGGTGGGGGCAGCATCTCCAGGTGGGATCTGGTGGATCCCTTGTGGACCCCTCCTGCCGTCACCTGTGCTGCTGTTTGTTCCAGTGAACATTGCTGTTTTGAGTCTCTCCGGTGCCCGGGCTTTCTAGCGGGGCACTCACGTCTCCTCTCCCCACAGGCCCTACGTGCGCTCCAAAGGCCGGAAGTTCGAGCGTGCCAGAGGACGGCGGGCCAGCCGCGGCTACAAAAACTAACCCTGGATCCTGCTTTGATATTAAAAAGATTTTGGATGCTGGCTGCCTGTGTATTATTTGGGTGAGGGAGGTGTTGGCGCCTGCGGGTGAGGCCAAATAGGGTTTGGCAGCCACCAGCTCCCTGGAGCCCTGCGCGGAGAAGCCTTTATGGCGGGTGGCGGTGTTGCCGCGCGAGCGCCCTCTGGCGGTCGCGGCGCGTGTCGGGCCCATGTAGCCTAGGCCCAAAGTCCCGCCCCCTTCCCAAGTACCCGTGTCAGGTGTTTCAGCACCTGCTTCGGCGGTTAGCCACACCCGCCCCTCTTAAAGGACCCAAGTTCCCTGGCGCCAGGTAAGGCGCAGTCGGGTCTGGGCAGGGATCAAGAGAGGTGCAAGGAGGAGGTGCATGGGAACAGGGTGAGGCGCTTACCTGGAACCGGGAAGGTAGTCTGGTGGGCCACCGTACCTGGGTGAGAGATCGGTGAGGTGAGTGCTCCTGTAGCTGGGACCTTCCAGGACCCAAGTCCCAGACCTCCAGAAGAGGGCCCTACCTCTTCTGCTGAGGGTGTCACTGGGAATCAGTCCCTCTGCCAGATACTCGAAGAGAGGTCAGCTGGATGTGCTATGGGACGGAGTTAGACGGGCAGCCCATTCTGCCTTTCAGTACGGACGTTTGGGTGGCAGAGATGGGCAGACCGCCTACCTCTGTTTACACAAGGGGCTGGGTTTCCCGGATCCCAGGCTGAAGCCTGATGAATGAGGAGAGGCGGAAGAAGAGGTGCAGAAACAAAGGAGGGTCAACAGACCCCCCTGGTCTAACCATCTTCTGAAAAGGCAGGAACAGGTATGGACACCCCAATGCATTGGGGAGCTGGGACCCAGGGAGGAAGAGGGAACCTTGGTTTTACTCCTCTCCCTTCTCTGCAGGGCTTGGAGCTGTGATCTGGAGGCAGGGAGCCCCCAGGGTGGGGGGCTGGAGAGGAGGGGCTGGCTGCTGGTTTGCAGTGTTGAGGAGTCCAAAGACCAGAGGCTGGGCCAGGAGTCTCAAAAGGGGCAGCTTGGGAGGGAGATGGACTAGGTGTGTGTGGTCCTTGTCCAGTTAGAGTTGGACAGCCAACTTGCATGAGCTAGTGGGACTGGGGCAGATATCCTGACCTGCATCGGGATAGCCCGAGACAACTCAGTGGCAGGGAAGACAGGAGGGGCAGCCAGTCTGAAGGACAGTGGCTAGTCAGTTGGGTCTCAAACTACAGGGCTGCTGAAATCATGGGTCTGTTCTCTCAGTATGAAAACCCCTATTTTGCTCCCTACCCTCAGCTGTAGCTTAAGCAGCTCTGAAGCCCCAGGAACAGAGTCCTGGCTGGTGGGGTGGCGGGGGATGCCAAGGCTCAGAGAAATGGGGACATTCTTCGAAAGCTGAGCCAGCAGATCAATAGGGTAGGTGCCTACATGGGCTACCTGTAAGTGTGGGCGAGCCAGAGAAGTGGTGACCAGGAGGGCACCAGGTGCTCACTGCTGGTCAGATGCGCAGGGTGTCACTGGGAATCAGCCCCTCTGCCAGATTTTCGAAGGGAAGGGTCAGTCAGCTGTCCTATGGGACAGGGGTAGACGGGCAGCCCACTCTGCCTTTCAGTACAGACGTTTGGGTGGCAGAGATAGGCAGACCGCCTATGGCCTAGGGTTGGTCAGGGAGTTGGCTGGATCTTTGGCTGGGATAGGGGGCTGCTAAGTCTGGCCCCTTGGGAAGCAGTCCAAACTCACTTGGGGCCTTGTGATGGCCAGCATGGTGAAGGCAAGATGAACTGCTAATGGGCCACATAGTGGGGGGCTGTGTCCGAGGGTCTACCTGACCCCCACACCGGGCCTATCAGACAGAGACCCCGGGGTGACTGGAGGCCAGCTGACTGCTGGCCCAAGCGGACAGTCATTTGGGCAATCTTACCCTGAGGTTGCTGTCAAGGACAGTGAAGGGCTTTCTTAGGCTGTCCTGGAAGTCTTGTGGGACTGCATAGAGTGCCTGTCAGAAGAGCCCCGTAGTCAAAACCTCAACACCCAGCCTCGTCCTCCCTGCTGAGCTGCCCAATGGCAGCCTCCCAGCTGGCGGCGCTGGAAGGAATGGAGTCGAGGACCAGGGAGCTGCCCCTGAGTGAGGGCAGCCCCAGCTGCCTGTATTCCGAGGGCCAGCGGCTGGCCCTGGAGGCGCTGCTGAGCGATGGCACAGAGGCCTTCCAGGCGTGCATGCAGCGTGAGGGGCTGCGGCCCTTCCTGAGCAGCGAGGAGCTCCATGACCTGGCAGTGGCAGCTGAAGACTGGGCAACAACTAAGCAGGAGCCCAGCAGGGCAGCCGAGGGAGCCAGGACCACCTCCACCGAGGGGGACTTGGACAGCCTGACTTACTGGCCTGGACAGTCAGACGAAACGGTGCCCATGCTGCGGCTGGGCTGGCCAGACGATTCTGCCTGGAAGGGGATCACCCGAGCACAGCTGTTCACACAGCCCCCCGGCGAGGGCCATCCACCCCTCAAGGACCTGGTGCGTCAGGAAATCCACGCTGCCCACAAGGTGGGGACCTCGGGCACTTGGTGTCCATTCCCTGGACTGGGACAGCCCCATGTGCCAGCCGCCATACCCCAGGACCCGGGCTTTGTCACCCATGCCCTCCAAGGGCTTGCAAACCCACACCCCTATCTGACCCCCAGACTCACATCCCTGGAACCCTGACATCCATACCTCCCATCCTATTAGGCTGGGGCTCTCCACCCGCTCCCCAAGACCTCAGGCACCTATGCCCACTGGACTCAGTCATCATTGCATATCCCCCCCTGGCCCCACCCACCAAGAGAGCATCTCCATCCCCACCCACCCACCCAGGCCTAGACATTTCCCTTGCAGCCCCTTGGACACCCCATTTTTTGGTGAAGTTTTAAAATTAGGACTCCTGAGGGTTTTATTGGAAAATCTAGGACACGTGTCACATTTACTATAAGAACACTTCCCCGCCCCCCGGTTTACCCGCTCTCTTTCCCACTTCCCTAGTGACACCCCCACCCCCACCCTGGCACCACAGTCCAGAGGTTTCGTTGTATTTTGATCATCCGTTGGCTTGTTTTCTCTTCAACCCACCCGTGAGCGAGACCATGAATGCTTGTATTTCTCGGGCTGCCTGGACAACCTCTTTATTTTTGTGCCTGCCGGCTTCCTTGCCAAGTGCTTTAATGGTTAATGCACGTCATCCTCATGAGGGCCCAGTGAAGCAGGGACGTGGAATGCCCTCTAGAGGTGGGGAAATGAGAAGAGGGGGGTTAAGTCTCTCACTTGTAAGTGTCTGGGCAGGGACTTGAAGCAAACCCGTCTGACCCGTGAGTTGGCCACTGCTACATTTTCTGCCGTAGCACCCCCTAGCTCTGGCTGGTGGCCTAGGTCAGCCTTCCCACCCCAGGCACCCCCGGCACCCACAGAGCTGGGCAAGAACATCCACCCACTGACCCAGGGCCACAGCTCAGGACACCAGTCCCCACTGTGGACAAATGATGACACGTTCCCAGCAGCCGGAGGCAGGACTTTCAGGAAGGGCTTGTCTCTTCAGGAGCTGCTGGCTGAGTAGCAGTGTGTGTCTGGTGGCGGGGAGTCCCCTCAACCCTTCTGAAAAACCACAGAGGCCAGGTGTTTAAACTCCAAGCCCCAAAGCCCCTCACCCACGTCTCCACCCTGGGGGTACCCCCATGCCCCAGCACCACCATGGCCCCTCTCCCCACGCGCAGCTGGTGGCAGTGGTCATGGACATCTTCACTGACCCAGACCTGCTTTTGGACCTGGTGGATGCCGCCACTCGCCGCTGGGTGCCCGTCTATCTGCTCCTGGACCGCCTGAAGCTGCCTGCCTTCCTGACACTGGCCCAGCAGCTGGGGGTGAACCCCTGGGCCACTGAGGTAAGGGCCTGGGTGGAGAGACCCCTGATTTCCCTGGCACTGGGGTAGCAGAGGCAGACCCTCTGGGATCCTGAATCACTGGGGCAAATGCAGCTGAGAGAGCCCCCTGAGATCTGACATGCACAATGTTGGGGGAAGTAGGCTTGGACCTTCCCTGGAGGCACTCTGAGTTAGGGGCACCCCCAGGAGACTCCTGAGACCTGATAGTGGGGGGTTGCAGAGACACATGCTCCCATGGAGTCCAGGTAGAACCAGCCCATTGGAGCGCTGAGCCCCTGGCACTGAGCAGAGATCTGTGGGGTGGGCCTGAGCTGGGTGGGGCGTGTCCCCCCAGAACCTGGATATCCGCGTGGTGCGGGGCTGCAGTTTCCAGAGCCGCCGGTGCCGCCAGGTGAGTGGCAGCGTGCGGGAGAAGTTTGTGCTGCTGGATGGAGACAGAGTCATCTCGGGATCCTACAGGTAACCCCCGGCCTACCTCATCCTCTTACCCTGCCGTGTCCCATCCCCACATCTCCCTCGTGTCCAGGCACTTGGCCTCCTCGCTCCGGGTCTGTCTCTCCTCATCTGTAAAATGGGTCAACACAGCCTTCTCAGAAGAGGTGGCTTCCTCTGATGATAAGGGGTTGGGGTGGGAGCCTGATGCCAACTCTGGCCCTGCAAGGGGCTTCATTAGTGGTCTGGGGTGAGTTCTCACCTTTTTTTTTTTTTTTTTTTTTTAAAGATTTATTTATTTATTTATATAAGCACTGGGAATAGTCAGAAGCGCAGGAGGGTGAGAGGATTCACCAGAGCCAGAGCGGGGAGCAGAACAGACAGACTGATGAAATACACTGCTGAGGGGAGCAGCGGGTGGCAGGAGAGGTCTGCGCGCCATATGGGACCCTCTCCCGGTGGCCGGGGATCGAACTGGCGCTGTAGAGGGTGTGGGCAGCTTCGCAACCCAGTGCTCAACCGCTGCACCACAGGGGAGGCCCCGAGTTCTCACCTTTTTGACTGTGTATTTCCGCATCTGGAAAACTGGGGCTACAGTTTGTGTGGGAGAGTTTCGATCCAGGAGGACCCAGCTCTGCTTTGTGACAATCACAGCTCTCCAAGAGTCTATCATTCATCAGTGTGAGATGCCCCCCTCTCCCAGAGTCAACTTTTCACTCTGTGACTCTGGGAAGTGCCTCTGGCGCCCCAAACCTCAGTTTCCCCTCAGTGCAAAGAATGACAGCACCCACCTTAAAGAGTCCCACATCTGGGTTGGGGGTTGGGGTAGCATGCAGATTCTGGGACCAGACAGCCTGGATTCTAATCCCAGCTCTGCCAGATATAAGCTGTGTGATTTTAGACAACTAACTTCACCTCTCTGGGCCTCTGCCAGATGGGATGATATGGTTCGTGCCTCTAGGGCAAAAGATTTCTGGACAGTGGTACAGCTCACATTTAGAGATGGGGCATTCTGTATTGTGGGGGGCTCTGCAATGCTGGATGTTGGATGGCCTCTACCCCATAGGGCCGTCTGGAGCGTGCCCCATCCTTACTTAGAACCACCTAAAAATTTTCCTGCCATTGCCAGATGCCCCCTGGGGGCCAGAGTTCCCAGTTGACAACCCTGGGTATGGACTAGTGATCTTCAACCTGAGTCATGTCAGGAAACTGGAGGACTGGTTAACACAGACTTAGGGGCCCCAAGCCCCATTCGTCAGCCAGGCTGGGGCTGCATTTCCAGCCAGTTTTTGTGGGATGTCTATGCTGCTGCTCTGGGGGCCACATTTTGGCATGCCGAGACTAGAATGTTTCTGAGAGAACCTACCTTCCTAGCTCTGCTTGAGCATTCATGGATCTGGGGGCCTGGCACGGAATATAAGAAATACTTCATCAACATCAGTTCTCGTTTATTAGTAATTTTTTTTAAATCATATTTCATGGACCCTAAGGTGCCACAGATGACAAGAAGCGTCCTGATCAAAGTGAGAAAGTGTTGCGTCTTAGAACTAATGAAACAGAGTAGGGCCGTCGCATCCACCGGCCGTGGCACCCCTGGGCCTGGGCAAGTGTGGCCGAGCCCTGGGGCGGGCTTCTGGTAGACAGCCCCAGAATGGATGACATCAGGGCCACAAGAGGTTGTCTGGGGCCTCTGGCCATTTAATAGGGAGGGAGGGGTGGAGGCGGGGGGCACGCAAGGGAGCCGCGGAGCCCGATCCCGGGCCCTGCACTCTGAGTGGGTCACAGCAAATACCGGAGCAGCAGCGCATCCAGCACCAGGATGGCGTGGCCCCACGCTCTCCCGCTGCCCGTGGGGCTGGCGGCCCCATTACACATGTGGGTGTAACAGCAGGTGCTGGTGAGGCTGTAGGTGACGCCCATGTAGTGGACGGGCTCCTCGCGGCCACACTTGGTGGACTGCACACAGCCCTTGCTGGTGACGGTCCCGGCGCCCGGGGCCACCCCGTGGCCGATGAAGCACTCCTCATCATCGCCGCAGCGCATGCGGACGCCAGGGCAGTTCATGGAGTCAGTCAACTCACAGAAGAGGCAGTCCTTGGCTCCTGTGGCACCCCAGGGCACAGCCATCACCAGAAGCAGCAGCCAGCCGAGGACCATGGTGGCCTGGCGGCGGTGATGATGCCCCAGCCAGGCCGTGGGCTTCCTGGGCCTCCCCGGACTGCCGAATGATGCGCTTTGCACTGTCGAGACTTTTGTCCCCGGTCCTCAGCTCTCCCAGAGTCAGCTCCTGGGGTGGACAGTGGTACAGCTAGGGTGGACAGTGCTACCTCAGTTCCCAGCACTCCGTGTCCCTTTCAGGAGCTCTGTTGTGACCACAGCTTTGGCGTCCTCAGCTCTCAGACACTTCCCCGGGGATGAACAAGAGCCAGCGGCTGCTGCCAGAGTGTCTCTGTGGAGTGGAATGGGGTGACCTCACAGAACCCCCTCAGGATTCCCACTGGCCACTCTAGGGCTGAGGTCATAGGTGGGGGGAGGGGGTGTCACAATCTGAGTGAGGGGCAGCCTGGCCCGCCAATCTGTGGGGGAGCCAGGGCACTGCCACCCCACCAGGGTCAGGATACTCCCCTCGCCCTCCTGTGCGAGAACTCGGTATCCCTTCTGCTGGTGTGGGGGGCTGCACCAAAAGGGAGTGGACAGCCTCAGTGATCCCATTTTTCAGATGAGCAAACTGAGGCTCACACGGGGAAAGTGATGGGTCCAGGCTACCTCTCATTGTCAGTAGAGCCCAGGTCCAGGTAATTCATAGGGCGCATGTACTGACCCCCTGCTGTATGCAGAGAACTTAGGGAACACCTGTGGTGATAATAGGAACAGGAAGGTCATGTGCTGGGCACCAGGCAGGTGCTGGACATGTTCTCTTACCTTTATACTTTGGCTCGGTGTTGCAGATAAGTAAACTGAGGCATGCCCAGAGTCTGACACACAGCAAGTGCTTAATAGATGGAGGTTGTGATAGGAAGCAGCTACATTTTATTTTTATTTTTTTTAAAGGTTTATTTATTTATTAATACAAGCACTGGGTACAGTCAGAAGCATTGGACTGTGACAGAATTCACCAGAGCCAGAGCGGGGAACAGAACAGGCAAAAGGACTGAAGTACACTGCTGAGGGGAGCAGCGGGCAGCAGGAGAGGTCTGCGTGCCATGTGGGACACTCGCCCGGCAGCCGGGGATCGAACCGGCGCTGCAGAGGCTGCGGGCAGCTTCGCAATCCAGTGCTCAACTGCTGCGCCACCGGGGAGGCCTGCAGCTACATTTTAGAAATAGTTCCCATGGGTGTCAGAAAGCTAACCCTGTCTCTTTCCAGAGGGGGATGCTGAGGCATGGAGGCGTTCCCTGTTGAGGGTGGGGCAGAGTCCAGATTGTTTTTGTTTTCTTTTTGTGCAAAAAAATCTTTAAGAAAGCCCAGGTTTAAATTCAAGTCTGATTCCAGGTGACAATTTAAATATTTTCACTCGGGGTGTGCTTGCAGCCACCCTTGGGGTGGGTTCGTCTTCCTTTCCAGTCTACAAGAGGGATGTTGAGGTTGGAGAGGAGGTAGGACTTGCCTGAGGTCATGCAGCCTGTGCTGGGGCCAGGTTGGGGCCCGGCCAGGCCCCTGGGGCTGCACAGAGGTCCTGACCCCTCACTCTGTGTCCCCAGTTTCACCTGGAGCGACTCCCGCCTACACCGCGGCCTGGTCACCCTGCTGACTGGGGAGATCGCTGACGCTTTCAGTCATGAGTTCCGGGCACTGTACGCGGCCTCCCGGCCACTTCCTCCGGCGCCGACCCCAGGCCCCTTCGTCGGCACCCTGGGGGGCTGCGGCTGGCCCACAGCCCACACCGCGTGGTCCACCGCCGCTCTGTGGCCCCTGTGTCGCCACCACCACTGCCTGACACCTCACTGGCCCAGCGCTTGGCCGCCTGCAGAGTGGAGGGGAACAGGCAGGAGACTCGGGCCACCCCATGCCCCGCGCTCAGTGACATCCTGAGGAATGTGCAGCGTACCCGGACCACCAGCGGTCCCCCTGCCCGGCCCAGCCGATCCCTGTGGGACCTGAGCCGCCTGTCCCAGGGGTCGGGCTCCAGTGATGGTGACAACAATGAGGTGAGACCCGGTGGCTGGTCAGGAGAGCAGAAGGCTGTGAAGGCCCAGAGAGGGCAGGGAGCTGGCCTGAGGGCCTGGAATCCGAGATTCCCAGAGCAGGAAGTGTTTTCTGTGTGTGCCCAGCCCCTGGGGGTGGGGAAAGCGAAGCAGCTAATTGCGTCATCCATTTCCTGTACCCCTACTGTGTGGGGGGCTGGGGCAGAGTTCCCAGGGCTCTGGGGTGCATCCTGACACACCATAGCTTCAGTGAATGCCCAGGGGCCAGGGACTCTCCTCTAATGCATTATTATGAGGACATGGGCTGAGTAATTTTCCTGTGCCCAGTTTTGTTGCAAACAAAATCAGTAAGAAGGAAGGACACAGGATCAAGCCATGATTACATCCTTCCCACATGGAATTTCTTTTTTGTCACTGCATCCCCAGCACCCCAGGTCCGTGAGGCAATCCTTTTACCACGCTCCTTTGCACAGATGGGAAGGCCCAGGCTCAGAGAGGTTAAGTAACTTGCCCAAGGTTGAACAGTGATCTTTTGCAGGCACCTTGCCACGTGCCAGGCCCTATATGAAGTGCTTTTACAGAGGTAGCAAAATCCAACTTAAAAAAAAAAAAAAAATTATTTATTTATGCATACAAGAACTGGGGTGTAGGCCAGAGATATGGGGGGTGAGAGGATTCACCAGAGACAGAGTGGGGAGCAGAACAGGCAGATTGACACTGCTGAGGGGAGCAGTGGGCAAGACAGGACATGTCTGCTGCGCCATGTGGGTCAGCTCCCTGGGTGGGCATTGAACTCATGCAGCAGTGGCTAGCAATAGCTTGATAGTGCTGAGAATTTAACCCCTGTGCCACCAGCGAGGCCCCCAGAAATCCAACTTTTGCCCCCAGCCCAGGGTGTTGCTACAGCTCTCCACCCACCCATTTTACAGATGGGAAAATGGAGGCACTGGGCAGGAATTAGCACTCAGACCTGTCTCCTAGGAGGGGCTTTTAAATACTCTGCTTGTTGATGGCCTGTATTCCAGTTTTGGGGATGTGGTGTGGTTAGGGGTGCTCAGGGGGATCTCTGCCAGCAGTGCCTGCCCAGTTCCCTGGCCTGTGTCCTCGGCTATGAAGCAGGTTATTGAAAGTGTAAGCACAGAGGCTGGTAAGAGAAACAGATGGTTTTATTGGGAGGCAGGCAAGCCTGTCAGGCCCTCTGGAAGCTGTGCCCCCACTTAGCCCCAGTTTCCCCATCTACCATGTGGAAGCTGGAGGCCACTCTGGGGGAAGGGGGTGGTGAGGGAGATTTGTCCCAGGCATTGTCTTCCTCAGCCCCAGTCCACCAGGGGAGAGGAGATAGGTGGGGCCGGAGCAAGGTTCTCACCTCCGCCCAGTCCCCAGCTGCCCTCCTCCATCATCCCTTCCCTTGGCAAATATTTGCTCCCCCCAGACACCTTCTGGCTCCTTCTTGTTCTCCTCAACTGCAAAGCTGCAGAAGCAAGATGGCGCCTTACCCCCTCTGTCGTTCTGGGGGTTCCTTCCCTCAGAGTTTCCTGCCTCACTCCTTCACCTCCTTTCTCCCCTTGACCCAGCCCCCTGGGAGTCTCAGTCACCTCTCTTTCTTTCCCTCTGCAGCTCAAGAAGTCCTGGGGCTCCAAGGACACCCCAGCCAAGGCCTTGATGAGGCAACGGGGCACTGGAGGGGGCCCCTGGGGTGAGGCCGACTCCCGTCCACTGTCCTGGGGCGGCCTGCACCCCCTGACACCTACCGGCCGCCGCCTCTATCTGCCGTCCACCCGAAGGAGGTTTGGGGAAGATGCTGTGTTCCAGCGCTCAGAACCCAGGGGCATTCAGCATCTGGACTGGACACCTCGGGCAGGACCTAGGGGGCAACCTTGACCAGCCCCCCAGTGAGGATTCCAGGATAACCCAAGTGCGAAGCTCCCTACCTTGCTCTTGTGCCTTGGCCAAGGTTTCTGAACTCAGGGTGGGGGGAAACAAGGGATTTTCCCTACTTGACCTAGAACTTGGGACAATCCACTGCAGACCTCAGGGTACTGCGAGGAGCAGGGCCCATCTTGGTCAAGCCTGCTCAAAGCTTTTCTGCTGGCCCACCTGGCTGAGTGGACCTCTGCTGGGAGTATATATGGGGAGTCCTTCAGACAAAAGGGGAGACTTCTGCACCCACATGCTGGGGAGCTGTGGGTAAACTGAGCTTGGCCAGAGAGAGACCCCGAACATGTTGGGAGGGCTGAATAATGAGGGACTGGAAATGTGGGGGGACGTGCTCAGGGCCACAGAGAGCCCAGTTGGGTGATCTGTTGTTACTTCTGCTCAGAATTAAGCAGCTTCATGCCAGCAACTTGCTTTCCACAGCCTAAAGCCACAGGACACTCAGGGGTCCAGGACCCCCCAGGCTACCCTCCCCAAGAACCCAGGAGTTGGGGCACAGCCCTCCTGGCATGGGGGAGCCAGGTGCCCCGTGCTGGCCTCCCAGCAGCACCTTTGCCTCTGGGCAGGGCTTCTGAGTCACCGACCCCCTCGGCGAGCCGGATGGGGAAGCCGACCTCGCCCTCGAGACGCCAGGGGTGCGGTCCAGGCCTCCGCCGCCGCCTGCGGGGGCGCCACGCCCGTCCTCTCCCGACCCTGCAGCTGGCCGCGGCGCCCCCACCCACGCGGCGCATCAAGGAGTGGGCTGGAGAGAAGCGTTTATTATCAGGGTCACGGCTGGGGGGACTCTAAGGCCTGTCCTGGGCTGGGGCTGGGGCTGGGGCTGGCCTCGGGTTCCGGGCTGGTGTCCTCAGAGGCCTCGTCCCAGGGGAAGGGCGGCAGCCCCCGCATCTGCTCGCGGTAGACTCGGTCGAAGGCTTCGCTCTGCGCCACCGTGAAGTGGTTCTTCCAGTCACCACAGACCCCTGCAGGGAAGGGAGAGCGGCAGGGTTGGCTGGCGTATGTGAGAGAGGAGCTTCCAGCATGGTCTTCCTGCCCTCAGCGTCTAGACACCCTCTTGCCACCTGCTGCCCTTAGGCCTTCGCTGCCCCCTCTCCTTTACCTCTTAGAGTGATTGACGGACTCACCCACAACTCACCTGGCCAGACCATGGGCACCATTCTTGCCTCTTGGGTTCCCAGCGTGCTCCAGCCCCTTCAGCTGACTTCTCAACCTTCCTGGGATTAGCCCCTTAAATCTCCTGAGACCATCCGTCTCCCCCCCAGCATTCAGCCACAGCCTGGACAGCCGCAGTGCCACTTCTGCCACCTGTCCCGAAGCTCTTGAGGCAGCACCCCCTGTGCTCTGGGCACCCTGTACCACCTCCATCATGGCTCCGACATTGGGAACGGGTGCCAGGCCTTCCTCAAGGCTTGCCCAGGGATCACTAGCTCGTAAACCCTCAGAGCAGGTGAGCAGGCTGGCAGGCTGGGGGCGCGACACTGCTCGTCCCCATATGGGCGTGTGGAGGACTGGGGGGCTGGCCTGGATTCCGCCCAGGCCTGCAGCTTCAGTTTTCCATCCCCCCCACCCCCCAGCCTCTTGTTTCTTATCTCATCTTGGGCACCAGCCTGGGACACCACCCTTTTCCTGAGATCCTGGGGCCTGTATCATTTGGATCCCGATCCTTTTTATTTTCACAAGGGCACACGTCACTCCCTTAGGAAGATCACCCTGTGGGAGGTTGAACAATGACATCCCCTCCCCCAAGATGTGCACATTCCTAATTCCTTTGGACCTATGAATACGTGAGCATTCATGGCAAAGACTTTGCCGTGAATGTGCTTGCAGTTGTGATTATGGATCTTAAGGTGGGAAAATGATCTTGGTGGACCCAATTCAATCACAACTGTCCTTATAAGAGCAGGCTTGGGAATGGGCGGGGGTCAGAGTCAGAGGCCACCCTGCATTGAGCCAAGGAATGCGGGCGGGTCTGCAAACCCAAAAGGCAGGAGATGGATTCTCCCTTAGAGCCTCCAGAAGGAACATGCTCCTTCTACAGTGATTTGAGCCCAGTGAGGCCGACGTGGGCCTTCCAACCTCTAGCACCATAGGAAAATAAAATGTGCACCGTTGCAAGCCACTAAGTTGGTATTTTGTTTCAGGAAACGAAGGCGTTTTGTTTCACCAGACATATTTCTGCGGTGAACAGGAATGCTAGGAAGGAATCTCAGAGATTCTAAACAGTCTCCTAGTGGTTCGAAGAGGTACATAGGTGTGTCTGTGTAGGTCTCTGGCCAGGAGTGGGAAGGCTGGGTGGGTAGGGACACCCCAGCAGCTGCTGGGAGCCAGCCCTTGTGTGGGGCCCATCCCGGGTCCACAGTGACCCTGGGAAGGCTTCTATGCAGAGCACCGCCATGTGACAGCTGGGGAAACTGAGGCCCAGAGAGGTTAAGTAACTTGCCTAAGCCACACAGCCAGGCAGTGAACTAGTGGAGCTTTGAATCCCAGAACCCCCGCACCTTTCCGGAGGAACTTTCCCTGGCTGTGGTCCAGCAGGCTCGTGGGCAGCAGTGTGTAGTTGGACATCTTGTTGGCCTTCATGGCCTCGAAGGTCGAATGGGCTATGACAGAGCCCAGGGCCTCCTCATCCAGCGGCCGGTCCAGGAACTGGCAGATGCGCTTCAAGCAGCCGGGGAGATCCTGGGAGCAGGGGAGGGGGTCAGTGGGGGGAGGGGTCAGTGGGGGAAGGGGTCAGTGGGGAGAGTGGTCAGTGGGGGAGGGGACCCTTTGAGAAAGGAGCATCAGACCGAAAGTTTGGATGTCTGAGTCCCAACCCAGAGCTATCTGGGTGACTGCCCCTTTGTCTCAGTTTCCCCAACCTCTAAGTCAAAGGCTTAGATTATGACTTCTGAGGGTTTTGCAATTTGGATTTTTGGAGAGTTCTGCAGGTGGGAGGGAAGGGACAGGGTTAGGTCAGAGGTCACAGCAGGGGACAGTCCATAGGCATTATAGGTAGAATCACCCCCCCTGCAGGGTCAAAAGAGCATCAGCCAGGTCGTCTCCCAGGTCCCAGACCCAGATTCCCACCTGGCTTCCTTCCCTCCCTGGCCCCTCACACCCCTGTCCATCATCCTGCCTGTCTATCCCTGACCCCCCACCCCTTTTGTCTGTATAGCCCTGGTGCTGGTCCGACCTGCACTTCTCCCTCCTGGGCTCTTGCACCTGCCTCCTCCCCTGCCTCCTCCCCTGCCTCCTCATGGCTTCCCTGCCTCCCATCTGTCTCACCCTGCAGCCCTTCTCCTATACTCAGAGCTGACAGTGTCTGGAATCTCCCATCCCTGCTGTGGCTCCCCAGTACCCCAGGGCAGGAGTCCCAGCTCCCAGGCCTGGCTTTCAAGAACTGGTATGGTCTGCTCTCTCTTCCCTCGCTCCCTCCCCCCAATCTCTCCCCTTTAGGGCCCCATGCCCTGCCCTCCCCTCCCTGCGGGCCTTGATTACCCTTCTCTACCTGGCAAACCTCCCTCATTACAATGATAGGTCATGTGACTGTGGATTGAGTGCTTACTGTGTGCCAAGCTCTGGCCCAAGCCCTCCCTCCCACATATATCGTGTCAGCCCTACTAAAAGGCTTGCGGAGAGACGGCATTGTGCTAATTGGTTAACAGAGGCCCAGAGAGGGGAAGACACCTGCCCAGGGTCACACAGCCAGGAAGGAGCTCAGCCCCTGATATCCCCAAAGCCCGCCTCCCCTGACAGAACCAGCCTTCTCTTCAGCTGCCCCAACCTCACGGTCCCAATTTTCCAGGTCATCCTGGTTTCATAACTCTCTACTCCTTTATTCTTTTGAACCACTGACGTGTCCCAGAAATTTGAACATGTTAGCAGTTCCTCACACCCAGGGGCAGCCTAGAAGCTCTGTCAGGCTGCCTGGCCCAGTTTTGGGTTTGGAGGATAAAGCTGGGCTGAAAAGAAGGGGGGGGTGGGAGGCCGGAAACTTTTCTGGATCTTTCCATCTAAAGAAATTTATCAGTGTGTGTGTGTGGGGGGGAGCCCACTATGGGGCCTGAGTGAGAGTGAAGCGCTGTGCGTCAGGCAAGTCCTCACTCTCCTGGGACTATAACCTCCCATCTCCTTCCTCTCTAAAATGGGGGCCATAACAATATGGGGAGCAAACCATATAAAATTACCATTTTTTTGTAGTTCAAAACTGGTCAAATATCAACCATTTCCTGTGGTTCAATCTAATGTGTAGCTCACCGTGGGTACTTTGTGTGGATTAAGTAAGATAATACGTGGGCACCCTTGGGTGCCTGGCTTGTCGTGCTTCTGGGAACCTTTGTTATTCTTGCCCTTATAGCCATGCCTTGCTTAATGCTGTTTGGGTCAAGGACAGACCACGTAGATGAGGCGGCCCCCACATGCCTCCATCCAGTCAAGGTGAGCAGCAGACGGTCCCACCAAGTCCCACCTAGCAAGTCCCCTCCATGACGTTGGCACCGCACCAGATCACCCCAGGACTCATCTCTCAGGACACATCCCCGTCGTGAAGTGACGCATGATTCTAACCAGATAGACCCTGGCTTCAAAGTGGATTGCTCACTTTACACACTGTCAGATGGTTGCAACACGCCAATGCCAGGTAGCCTGGCAGCCACCCTAGAAGCCAATTTTAGGATTTGTCATCTGGGACTCAGACTTGAAGAGGATGCTAACTGCTTTCTTTGGACACCAAAATCCAGGCTCTTTCCACGAGGACTGACAGAAAGGAATACAGAAAATGGGAGATGCGCACAGGTCTTTGTGAAGGGAACTGTATTGGGGTTTGCCGAGTTCCCTGCCTCCCGGAACAGATCTTCCTTAAGAACCTAGAATAGCTGGGCATGTTCCCTGTGGATTTTTCCATCTAGAAACCTGGGCTTCTCTTGTAGCCAGTTAAAGCCAGAGGCCTTCTCAAGGCCCCTTCTTCCAGGGAGCCTTCCCGGATTGCCCCATCTTGAAGCTGTCTCTCTCCAAGATGCCTCCCTTCCCCTGGGACATCTGGTGAGGTCCATATTGGGTCTCCATCTACCACCAAGGCTGTTTCCTGCCACAGCTTCCCCTGCCTTTCTGTTCATGACTGTCATGGACGCTCATTGTTTCACAGGCTCTCATTGATTTTACCGCCTCCCCGCCTCTGAGCCCACTCAGGGCTCCCACCTACTCAGAGAAAATTCCAGCCACTCCCTGTGGCTCATGCTTCTTCCCTACCCTCATTTCTCATTTCTACCCATAGGTGCTAGCTCTGGGCTCTCCTTGAAGCACAATGAATACGTTCTCACCGCAGGGCCTTTGCACAGGCTGTTCCCGCCACTGGGGATCCTCTCTGCCAGACATCCCGTGTGGTTTTCTCTCACCTTCAGGTCTTTGCTTCAGCATTACTTTCTCCTGGGGGCCTCCTCTCTGACCACCCCACTGAAATTTGCCCCCACATACATTCCTTGTTCTCCCTTTCTCTTCCCCCTTCCTCGTTGACTTTTTGCACCAGCTGTGCTCTGCTTTTATCGTTTCTTCTTTGGTCCATCTGCTGCTCAGGCCTCAACATCTGTTCTGTTGAGAACCTGGTTTGCTGGGTTGCGGGGTGGCCAGATGGGGAGGGAAGAGCAGGGTGTGAGCAGGCAGGGTGATGGAGAGACAGCGGGCGAAGTGAAGTGGGAGTCACCTGCTTAAGCTCCTCGTAAGTGATGAACAGAAAGTTCTCTTTGCCCTGCATCTGAATCCAGCCCTTAATGTGGTCGAACCAGGAACCGAATGGCACTGCGGGCAGAGGGCCAGACATGGTGAGGGCTGGGCCTCAGAAGGGCTAGCTACCCCCACCTACACCCCAGGCCTGGCCCCCCCTGGTGGGACACCTCCCCTTACGCCCCCAGTGTCCCCCTATCTCCCTGTATCTCTCTCATGCCATCTCTCTGTTTCTGTGTCTTTCTCGTTCTCTGTGTCTCATTCTCTCTTTGTCTCTGTGCCCGCTTATTCTTTGTATCTCTGTCTCTTATCCTGTCTCTATGCCTTTCACTCTTTTTATGTCTCCTTCTGCCTCTCTCTGTCTCTCCCTGATTATATCTCTCTCTTTCTTTGTGCTTCTCCACCTGTATCTCTCTGTCTCTGTGGCTCTCATTCTCAGTATCTCCAGCTCTGTCATTCTTCTTCTGGCTCTGTGTCTCTGACTCCCTGTCTCTGTGTCTCTCACCCTCTGTCTCTGTGCCTAAAAAGAGACCCCTGCCAGTACCTTTCATGCTCTGTCTCCCTGTCTCCATGGCTCCTATTCCCTGTCTCTCTCTGTTTCTCATTCCCTGTGTCTGTCCCTCTCTGCATTGTGTTCTCCGTGCCTGCCGCTTTACGGCAGGTGTAGAATACCACCGTTGAATCCAACATCATTTCCTTATAACACTGATGAGAAGAAGAAAACGCCTGCCTGCCTGCCAGCCTTTAACAAAACCATGTTACTCCAGGACCTGGTTTCCTTACACGTCCTTTCACTTAAAGTCACAGTTTTCGAAAGCCTTTCGATGCCGCTAAGTGAGGCCTTACTGCATTTCTTTCTCAGTCTTTAACTGTGTCTTTCTGACTCTATTTTTGTCTCTGTTTCCTTTTCTCTGTCCCTCGTTTACTCTGTGTCTCTCACCACACTCTGGTTCCTTCTCCGTATCTGTCTCTCCCCGTTTCTGCATCCCTCACTGTCTATTTCTGTCCGTGTCCTGGCCTTTCCCTGGTCTCTCACTCTCTGCTTCTCTGCATCGCTCTGTCTCCATTGCCTGACAATGCCCTGTCAGCTGCCTCGCCCCTCCCCCCCTCATCCGCCCCCCCCCCCATCCCTGGTCCCATCTGAGTCCTCTAGGAGCCCCCGCCCCCACTTACTTCCCCACTCCTCACCTTTGCCTTTGAGGAAGCGCTGCAGGAACTGGTCAGGCGTGCCAGGGTCCTTCAAATGCCCAGAGATCTTGGAATAATGATAAAATGAGACCAACACATCCCGGGGGTCCCGGGCCACGTAGATCACCTGCGTGTGGATGTTGCAGAAGGGAATAAGGTATCAGACAAGGGCAGGACCCCCAGCTCCTGAGGTTATGTGCCCTTGAATCCCCTCTTTTCTGATCCTGCAGCAGGAAGGACTGAGGGTAGACTTCTCAAGGGACTTCCCCGTAATGGAAGTGCAGATCAGTTCACCTCATCCCGGAGGATGGAGAGAGCTCCAGCTAACCACATTCTAGGAGGAGGGAGGGAGTGTTTCTGGACCAGGTGGAGGGACAGTTAGGGAATCAATGGCAGAAGAGAGACATGGGGTTCAGGATGGGAGAGATCAGGTGAGGTTACTGATGCAGAGAGAAGAGAAACCAGCCCTTCCTTCCTAGTCCCACAGTTGAGGTTCCAGCCTTGTCTCCTCCTGCTGGACCTTTGCTGCAGCCTCCTCCCTGGCCGCCCAACCTGCACAGGTCCCCAAAGGGTATAGACCCAGAGCTGATCATTCCATCCTTGGTTCTCCGGTGCCTCAGGATGGAGTCCCAGCTCCTGGACCCGGCGTTCACGGCCCCAGTTAATCATCACCGTTCTGTTTCCTGGTTCACATTCCACAACCAACCCCACTTCCAGCCTCATCAGATATGTCCTTCCTGGCAACCCTCGCCTTCCTCAAGACTAAGCTCAGTCACCTGGGCAATCAGCCACATCTACATGACCAACCTCCAATAAAAATCCCAGACGGCGAGGTTTGGGGACGCTTCCCCGGCCAGCAACCCTGTGTGCGTGTTGGTGGATGTCACTGACTGGGAGGATTACGCGAGTGTTGTCCATGCAAGCCCGTGGGGAGAGGTGACTCTCCCGGGCCCACACTGGGTCTCTCCTGGACTCTGCCCCATGTTCTTTTCCCCTGGTTGGTTTTAATCTCTAGTTTTCATGTCATAAACTATAATGAGGAGTGCAACCACTTTGCTGGGTTTTGAGAGTTCTTAGTCTGTCTAGTGCATCGTTGAGCCTGTGGGCAGGCTTGAGGCCCTCTCAGACTATAGTCCCCATTTCTTCGCTGTTTCTACTCACTTCCTTCGTGAGCCAGTCTCCTGGCTTTCCTTACCTGCCCCCACCCCCCACCTTTCTTACCCATACATACTAAAGTAAGAGTGATTTGTTCTGACCAAGAGTCTATCTGATTAGTGATCACAGTAACATGCGGTCATAAGCCACAACGCCACCCCTATGGTGGTGGCCCCTTATGCAGCCTAGGTGTATCGTGGGTCATATCAGCTACGTTTGTGTGATTATGTTCCAGGACATTCACACAAGAAAGAAATCACCTAAGGATGTATTTCTCAGAAGGTTTTCCCAAACAGTGACTTGTGACCGTCTGTGTAGCAACAGATCGCTGACAGATGAGGCCAACCCAGATCGCTCCTGTCAAATCCCGATTTGTTTACCTCACTGCCCACTGGTGACCTCCATCTGGACATGGGGAGACCACAGTCCCCCGGCCCCACCCAACCTGCTCCTCCAAATTTTTGCCATCTCAGTTAATGGCAGCCCCAGCCTCCCAGTCACTTAAGGCAACCTTGACTCATCTCTCACACCCACATCCAATCTGTCAGTAAATCCTCCTCATTCCATTTTCAAAGCACACTGAAACCCAGCACTTCTTCCTCACCTCCCTGGCCATTACCCAGTCTGGGCCCACAAGTTTACCTCCCCCTCTCCCCTCTGGATAGTGGCAGGGCGGATTCCAGGGATCTGTCCCTCACCTTGTGCCAGAGGGTGCTGGTAAAAACCTAAGTGTGCTCTGGCCTGCCCCACCACCTGCTTCACTCACAATACAAGCAAAGTTCCTAGCAGTTGACGCTGCCCTGCGCCTTTTGGACCCTCTCTGACCTCATATCCACTCCTCTGTCCTCTTTCACTCGGTTCCAGCTGCACAAGCCTCCATGTACCTCAGGGCTTTTGCACCTGCTCTTCCTGCTGCTTGGAATATTCTTTCCCCAAACCCCCAAGTCTCCTTCCTTCACCTGCCATGTCTTTATTTGGATGACTGATTCAGGGGCTATAATCAGATTTGTAATGGCACCTTCTCACGGGATCCTCCCTTGATGATTTTATTTGTTGTCACACTAGCTCTCTGTCCCCAACCCTCTCCTTCCTGGTGTGAATTTATCACTTGGACATATTAAATATTTTTCCTTGTGTATTCTGTCTATTCTCTGCCTTGTTCCCCTTTAAAACATGAGCTCATGGGGCAGGTATTTTTGTGTGTTTACTTAGTATGGTTATAGATCTGGGCCAGGCAAATAGTAGGTGTTCAATAAAGATGTGCTGAATTAATCCATTCTTTATGCTCCCTCCCCCATTCCTGCCCTCCTCCCCCCTCCTCCTGCACCTTAGCCTTGGATTTGAAGAAAGACTTGGTGAAGAGCTGGATGGGGAGGTGGGAACTCATGAGGCGGGGACCAGAGGAGTCCAGGATTTTGAAGGCACTCAGCAGGACCTCACACCAGGGTGCCCGATTCCAGATGGGCTCAGACTGGATCCAGGAGGGATCTCCATTCTTTAGGATTAAGCTGAGGATCTCAATCATCCAGTTGGTGCCTGTGGGAAGAAATGGGACAAGTTAATCAGAGGTGGGGAGGGGCAAAGAGGGGGTTACCATCAGATTTGTAAAGGCTGCGTGTATGGCATAATGGGCTACATACACACAGTTATGTATCTCTTAACTACAGAGACACGTTCTGAGAAATGTGGTGAGGTGATCTCCTGGGCACATCATAGGCTAGCTCTTGTGCATGTTACTTCACAGACCTAGGCAGAGCAACCCATACCACACCAAGGTTGGATGGTACAGCATGTCAGATCCGATGTTGAGCCAAATGTCTTTAAGTGACATGTGACTATATTTTATTACACAGACTCCTCACAACCAGTGGAGAAGGTATGGTTGATTTCCCTTAATTTCAGAGCAGGAAACTGAGGCTCAGAGAAAAAGTCACTCACTAAGATGGCAGAGCAAAGCAGGGGAATGTTATGGAGACGGGCATTTTCCTATCTGCAATAACATGCATTTTTCTAGCCTCTCCTGGAGCTACCTGTGGGTCACGTGACAGTGCTGGGTGGGAGCACTGTGCAGCTGCTCCCAGGCTGGCCTAGAAACACTTCCATGTGACCACGTCCTCACCCTCATCCATTCCCGAGAGGCCGGATGCAGCCTCCAGTGGAGGGTCCTGTCCTGAGCATGGCAGAGCCACAGAATAGAAGGATCCAGTGTGCCCGAGACTATGTGGGTTTCCCCCACTTTCCTCCACCCATCCGCCTGTGATTGGAGTGTACAGGAGGAAGAAATAAACTTAGGTGGATTAAGCTACAAAGATGCTGGGGCTTGGGTAGTCAGGGTACCAGCACACCGTGAACACACAGAGGACGCTAGAATCGAATCCAGGTGCCTGGACTTAAAATTTCAGCTCTTTGGGCCTCCCTGGTGGTGGAAGGGGTTAAGCACCGCACTATGAAGCAATTCACAGCCTCTGCAGCATGAGTTTGATCCTCGGCCGGCCAGTGAGCAACCCACATGGCACAGCAGACCTCTCCTGTCTCGCCTGCTGCTCCCCTCAGCAGTGTATTTCAGTCAGTCTGCCTGTTCTGCTCCCCACTCTGTCTCTGGTGAATCCTCTCACCCCCCGCATCGCTGGCCTGTACCTCAGTTCTTGTATGCATAAGTAAATAAATCTTAAAAAAAAATTTTCAGCTCTTTTCATTCCCCCTTTTGGGAGTAACCCCCTAATTTCTGGGGAGCCACAGAATATCACATAGTAGGAAAGGTTTATCAATCACCCTGCTCATTGGTCCAGATTCCAGGAGACCACAGGTAAGTCAGATGAGGACAATTATAATGTTCACAGTCTATTATGATGATGTCTTGGATTCTAACAAGTACCCTGTCCACTTCTCCGTGTATTGTCTCCTGGCTCCAAATCCACTCTTCCTTGCCCTGTTTGATTTTTTTAATAAGATCTTTATTTATTTATGCATACCAGGCCACGGGTGTAGGCCAGAGGTGCAGAAGGGTGAGAGGATTCACCAGAGACAGAGTGGGGAACAGAACAGGTGGATCTACTGAAACACACTGCTGAAGGGACCAGCGGGGAGACAAGAGAGGTCTGTGGCACCATCTGGGTCAGCTCCCTGGCTGGGGATTGAACTCGCGCTGCAGTGGTGATAGTGCTGAGACTAACACCTAGGCCACCAAGGAGTGCTGCAGGAGGCCTTGATGCCCCAGCCAGATAAGAAACTGGCAAGCAGCGAAGGTAAAGGGCCTCACACCATGGTGCTGAAGATTCCTTGTGCCTCACACCATGGGGCTAAAGATCTAACATTCCTTCACTTTTTGTTCTTGGTCATAAAAAGAGAAAAATTTCCCAAAAAGTACATTAGGCTATAAATTATATGTATCAGCAGACTGCAAGCAATTGGCACGGAAAATTACCTGTTTAGAAATTAGTTACTACACAATTTGGCCCAATTAACAATGGGAGACAATTTATTGTATATATCTGACAAGCAATCCAGCATAGCAATTATAGTATATCCTTCTTTTGTTTTTTAGAAGTTCCTTTTTATTTAGAAGTTTCTTAGGAAAGTTTTTTTTTGTTTTTTAATTTTTAATTTTTTAATTTTTCTAGAGGCATGTTTTATTTATTTATTTGTTTTTTTTTTTTTTTTTAACATTTATTTATTTATTTATTTATTTATACAAGCACTGGGTATAGTCAGAAGCGCAGGAGGGTGAGAGAATTCACCAGAGCCAGAGCGGGGAGCAGAGCAGGCAGAAGGACCGAAGTACACTGCTGAGGGGAGCAGTGGGTGGCAGGAGAGGTCTGCGTGCCATGTGGGACCCTTCTCTGGTGGCCGGGGAGCAGCCGGGAATCGAACCGGCACTGCAGAGGCTGTGGGCAGCTTTGCAACCCAGCGCTCAACCGCTGCGCCACCAGGGAGGCCCTGTTTGTTTTGTTTATACATGCACTGGGTAGAGTCAGAAGCACGGGAGGGTGAGAGAATTCACCAGAGCCAGAGCGGGGAGCAGAGCAGGCAGAAGGACCGAAGGACACTGCTGAGGGGAGCAGCGGGCGGCAGGAGAGGTCTGCGCGCCATGTGGGACCCTCCTCTGGTGGCCGGGGAGCAGCCGGGGATCGAACCGGCGCCACAGAGGCCACGGGCAGCTTCGCAACCCAGTGCTCAACCGCTGCGCCACAGGGGAGGCCCTCTTAGGAAAGTTTTTAAATGAAGTTGACTGTATTAAGAAGTTTGTAGGTAGAAAAGGTTCTGATAGCTGAGCAGCTATGAATAAAATAGTGTTAGGTTTGGTTTTTTATCTATTAACCTTGAAGGCTACCGTCTAGCTGGGACCTGTAGGAGCCAGTAGTCCATGGGAATAAAATACACTAATTGTTTCTGCTTTACACATGACAATGTATTTTTTTTTCTGCTTACTAAAAATGAATAAATAAAGACCTGCTGAGTCTCTCGGCAGAAGATACCAGCACCTCACCAAGTGTCAGTGTCTCCTCATTCTACCTCATCCCCTTCCCCTCAGCCCTTTCGTTTTCGCCGATGCCGTCTCATCCTTTCAGGAACCCCTGACACGACATTTGCCGGAGGCTGGTCCCCGGCAAAGGAGGCCCCAATAATTTAACTTTTCTAAGGTGTGCAGCTCAGTGGCATTAGGTACATTCACCTATTGTCCAAACCTCACAACATTTCATCTCCAAAGCTGTTTCATCTTGTAAAACTGAAAGGCTCTTCCCAGCAAAAAGTTGCTCCCTGATCCCCATTCCTCCAGCCCTCTGGTGACTGCAATTCTACTCTACGTCTTTATGAATCTGACTATTCCAGGGCCCTCGTGTTAAGTGGACTCATACAGAGTTTGTCCTTTTTGTGTCTGGCTTATTTCACTTAATGTCTTTAAGGTTCGCTTATGTTGTGGCATGGATCAGAATTTCCTTTTTTTAAGGCTGAATCATATTGCCTTGGATGCAAATGCCACCTTCATTAACCCATTCATGGACTGGAGGCCATAGAACTGCTATGGCCAGGGGTAATAGAAAGACCTCTTTGAGACTTTGCTTTCAATTCTTTTGGACTTACACCCAGAAGCAGAGTTTCTGAGTCAGATAGAAATCTTGGTTTAAATTTTTTTTTTCCCCAGAAACGCCATACTGTCTTCCACAGTGGCTTCACAATCATACACTCCCACCAACAGTGTACAAATGCGCCCCCTCCAACATTTGTTGTTTTCTGGTTTTTTGACACTAGTTATCTTAATGGGTGCAAATAATTTGTATATTACATTTTTTTTTCCTCTTCAAATGACTGTGTGGTTTCACTGTCTGTCTGGATCCGACTGATACTCCCCTCAGGAGGTCATGGAGAGAGACACTGAATATCCTCACAATTCATTCTTTCTTTATGCCAGAGTCAGAATTTTAAGATTTTTTTTTAACATCTTAAAAGGACAGGCTATCAGGGAAAAGAGAAAAAGAGAGACACCTGCATAGTCACAGGAGGGCAGGAGAGTTGCAGAATTTTAAGATTTAGCTAAGCATGTTGGCATCCAGCTAGAGACTCTAACCCCAAGACACCTTTGCAGCAAAGTGTGGTCATGTGGCTAACCTCTGGCCAATTACAGTCCATACCATTCAAGTCACAATCATAGTATGATATGGTCTGACCAGAGATATCTCAAGGGGCCTCCCTGGTGGCACAAGGGGTTAAGACACAATCAGTCTGTGTGCAGCTACTGCAGCAATAGTTCGATCCCCAACCAGGAAGCTATCCACATGGCGCAGCAGATCTCTCCTGACTTGCCCACTGCTCCCCTCAGCAGTGTATTTCAGTCAATCTGCCTGTTCTGCTCCCCACTCTGTCTCTGGTGAATCCTCTCACACTCTACACCTCTGGCCTGTACCCCAGTTTTTGTTTGCATAAGTAAATCTTTTTAAAAAAAGGTATCTTAAATTAAGACATCAACTAGAAAAGACAGATATTCATTTCATGATATAATTTTTAAAAATAGACTGGGAAAACTATTATGAACAGTGTTCATAGTCAGTAAAAAAAGATAATATTATCTAGGGAAACTTACTTACAAGTCATAACACATACACACTCACAAAGGGTTAAGTTCACTAATATGTAAAGAGCTCTATGAATCAATAAACCACCAGCAATTCAATAGGGAGGAAAAAGCAGGGGTAAGAACAGACAGACTATAGGGAAGGAAAGATAAGTAGTTCTTTAAGAATCTAAAAATTTGCTCAACTTTACCAATAACAACACAAGAATAAATGAAAGCAAAATCAAAGTTCCATTTTTCAACTTTGAGCTAGCAAAGACCAAAAAATCCTTGTAAATAAACAAGGAAACTCTATTTACAGTGCTAAGATGGGATGGTGTCACATAATTTTATTTTCAAAAAATAAATGATATCAAAATGCAAAAACGGTATGTCTATAGTGCTAAATTTTGTGAGAGGAAGTTAAAAATATATTTATGTACATTTCTGCTTGTACATGCAAATTCTGCAAGAATACACAGAGTTATTGCTGGCTGCAAAAGTAGAACTTTCAGTATAAGCCCTTTTTACCTCTTGAATTTTGAACTATGAAATCATTGCTTTTAAAGCGAGAAATTAATACACTTTAAATTTTAAAGAAAAGTTAGAGTAATTGGACATCCATGCAAAGCACCTCTACCTATGCCATTTATAAAAAGTAGCTCAAAATGGCTCCAAGATTTAAATATAAAATCTAAAACTAGAAACTTTCTAGGAGAAAACACAAAGGGCATATTTGTAACCTTGGATTAGGCAAAGGTTTCTTACCTATGACATCAAATTTTGATCTTTTAAAGAACAAACTGACAGGTTGGATTTCATGAAAATTAAAAATGTACACTTCGAGAAGACACTTAAAAAGTGAATGAAGGCCTCCCTGGTGATGCAGGGATTAAGTTTCAGTGCTATCAAGCTATCGCCAGCCATTGCAACACGAGTTTGATCCCCAGCCAGGGAAGTGACACACAGCGCAGCAGACCCCTCCAGTCTTGCCCACTGCTTCCCTCAGCAGTGTATTTCAGTGGATCTGCCTGTTCTGCTCCCCACTCAGTGTCTGTTGAATCCTCGTACACTCCTGTACCTCTGGCCTACACCCCAGTTCTTTTATGCATAAATAAATAAGTAAATCCTTTAAAAAAAATCTTTTAAAAAAAAGTGAATGAAAAGACAAGCCACAGCCTGTGAGAGAAAACGTTTATAGAATGATGAAGGGTTTATACTCCAATGATACAGAAAACCCTGAAAACTCAACAAAAATGAATAAATAATTTCTAAATAAATAATATGAAAACAACTTGGCTAAAACAAAAGGGGGGGAACTGAACAGTCACTTTATGGAAGAAGATACATATGATGGCTCATGAGCACCTGAAAATATGCCCAACATCATTAATCATTAGGGAAATGCAAATTCAAACCACAAGAAGATACCAGTCTAACCTGTTAGTATGGCTTAAAGAAAACATTTGACAATATCAAGTGGTGGCAAGGAAGTAGAACAACTGGAGCTCACCTATGTTGCTAGTGGGAGTGCAAAATGGGAAAGCCACTTTGGAAAAACAGTTTGGCATTTTCTCATAAAGTTAAATATACACACTTCCCACTGACACAGCGATCCCACATCTCAGTTTTTATCCAAGATAAACAACAGCACATTTCCATGCACAGATGTATACACAAAACTACACAACAGCTGTGTTCATACTCACCCCACACTGGAAACAACCCAAAGCTTTTTCAATAGATGAATGGATAAACCAATGATGGTCCATCTGTACAATGGACTATTCTTCAGCAATTAAATATACATGCACAGACACACACCTTGGATGAATCTGAAGTGCATTATGTTGAGTAAAAGAAGTCAGTCTCAAAGGCTCTATATGTTATGACTCCATTTATGTGACATCCTGAACTAGGGGTTGGGGGTGTGGGAGAATCTGACTACAAAAGAATGTAAGAGGAGTTTTCTGTGGTGATGAAACTGTTCTATAGCTTGATTGTGGCTGTGGTTATATGGCTATATATGTCTACCAAAACTCATAGAACTCAGAGAGAAAGTAAAACATTGCCTACATAGGGAACATTCTAAGAAACATGACTTGTAAAAGCCAAAGAGTTCAAACAACCCAAATGTTTACCAACTAACAAATGTATAAACACAATGGGTCCATCCAGACTAGGAATAGTATTTGGCCATTAAGAGGGATGAAGCACTGATCCAAACTACAGCATGGATGAAGTTTGAAAACATGATGCTAAGTGAAATAGGCCAGAAAGAAAATGTCATGAGTTGTGTGATTCCACTGGTAAGAAATATTCAGAATGGGTGGGTCCATAGAGATAAAAAGTAGATTAAAGGTTGCCCAAGATTGGAGGAAGTGGTGACTGGGAGGTGATGACTATTGGGTACTGGGCTGCTTGTAGGAGTGCTGAAAATGTTCTAAATTTGTGGTATTGTTAGGGGGAAATAATGTCCTAAAATAATCCCATACAGGCTTTGTGGACCCCACCCCCACTCCAGACTAAAGCCATCAAAACATTGGGAAAGACAAATCCCATCACCACCAAGGGAAAGGTGGCTGGGACCTGGGGGTGGAGTTGGGCAGCCAGGTTGGATATAAAAACCAGACACGTGGGCCTTGGGGTCTCTCTGGCTATCGCTCGCCTCCCGGCGTCAGGACTCCTGGCTGGCGGCCAACTCTGAGAGCGCCATTTTGGGGTTCCTGATTGGCGGATTGGGTAGGACTCGTTTAAAACTTTGTCTCCCACTTTTCTCCCAGAGCTGTACATTTCCTCATTTCCCCTTCCCTTGTCAATAAACCTTTTATGAACCTTTCACGTGTGCCTGCAGTAGAGCATTGCTAAGTCCTTTTAAGCGCGCGGGTGAGGACCCACAGTCAGGCACCCCGTTTTGTATCGGGGTTGCTCTACAACAGTATGGGTGCATGATTGTGGCTATACCCCCAATTGTAGAATTGCATGCTTTAAAATGGGTAAATTATATTTTAAGTGAATTATATCAAAACTGCTATTAAAAAAAAACAACCCACTTTCATAGAACTAAATTTTAAAAAGGGTGAAAAACTTCAAACCCATGTATAAAAAGTTAAAGAAGTTAACCAGATGAACCCCATTATTTTAAAGAAGAAAAAGTTGACGTTCATCTGCTCTCTCACCAAAACCTCCCCAGGGTTCACTTTGCACTTTGGAGTAAAGTTGCCACAGACCCTCATCCAGAGGGGTGGATGTTCCTTCCAGCCTCATTCCTCAGCCTCATCTACCTTCTCTAGCTCCCTCAAACTCAGCCCCCTACCTCGGGGCCTTTGCACACGCCATTCCCCTGCCTAGAACACACTTTACCTTCAATCTCCTTTGCATCTTCTGCATGAACATCGTCTCCCCAGGAGGCCTGCCCTCATTCCCAGACCAATATTTCTATCTACCTTCAATACTCTCGTGGGGGGACCCACCCCAATTCTATATCATAATATCAGAAGTGACACATTTAAATAAAACGCGTCTCTTCCACAAATTGAGATGTCTCTTATTCACAGCTGTGTCTCTCAATGTCAATGCTTGAATGGAGAAAATGCAGTTTTTCTCCTCACCCTTTTTCCTTCCTTCCTTCCCTTAACAAATATTCACCCAATACTTATTGTGTGCCAAGCACTGCCCAATATTTATTGTGTGCCAGGCACTGTTGTGGCCTCCAAAAACACAGCAGCAATCAAGACAAGCTAAAATGTCTGTCCTCACTGACCTCCCATTTGTAAGGTCGAGGCTGGGGCAATATTGGGGGGCCGGGGGAGGGGCTTGAAACTGCTGCCACCTGCATTCCCTGAGTGGCTCTGCACTGTGCCTGATAAGCACTGTGCCTGAAAGAACCCTAAGTTCCAAGAGAGAACAACTACTTTGAAGAGCAACATCACTCCACCTTCCACCAAGGCCAGACCCCGCCCTATAAAAGATTACCCTCATCCCCCAAGGGGCATGACTTCTCTGACCTCTGTGGGGGTTGGAGAACCGTGCCCAAGGACGCAATAAACTTTCTGCCTGTGAGAAACGTAGCCTGGCTTTCCTCTTCTTTACCACACCAATCCTTTCATCTTGGTGAGACAGACGCTAAAGAGAGAAACAGAACAGCAACAGAAGGCTGGCCAGGGCTTGTCAGGGCCCTGGCCATTTCATCCGTTTCATCTGCTTTGTTGTCTCCTCATGTCACCTCCAAAGAGAGTCTGATCGGTGTCCCTTACAATGAACTATGGCCACCTTGGCTGGCAGCTGGAAGGCCTCAAGCAGTTTGAAAATAAGTTTGCGTTAATGATAGGAGATCCTTTGGTGGAGAGAAAACCACGTTCCTGCCAGATGGCCACATGGCTGTGAGTATTAGGAAAGCATATTTAGAATCAGTATATATAGTGACCCTTATTCCCTGTGAGAGAGTGGGTGCTCGGGTGAGCGTGATAAGTTCAGCTTTTTGTGACAAGGTCCCTTCAGGAAGTGGACTGGCCCGGATGACCTGGTGTTCAGTCACCACGGCATAGGCAGCCCTGCGCTTCCCTTGAGGATCTACGCAGGAGCTGCCATCTACGAACAGGACGTTATCTGCATGTAGTGTGAGAGAGTCCTGGGTGAGGGGACCGCAATTCCTCCAGAACCCCAGCACACACGTGGGCAGACAGGGGAGACTCAGGTTTTGGTAACAGAGTAGCTGGGTTTAAAACAGGAGATTGGGACAAAGTGACCAGAGGGTTTTTGATAAAGAGGGTGTGAAAGTCGAACAACTTAGCCTGGCTTTCCTTTTCTTTATCGTGCCAATCCTTTCACCATTCTAGCAGAGAAGCCAGAGAGTAAATCGGCCAAATATCACACACGCACACGCACACGCACATGCAGAGGTGGCATTGATAAATACTAAGAAGCAAAGATGGAGACAGCATGGGGCATGATGGGCGTGCTGTTTGATCCTGGAAGATCGGTTAGGGGAGGGAGCAAGATATGGGGGGTGTGGGAACAGGTGCTCCCTGTGGAGGGACCCAATGGTGCAAAGGCCAAGTTTACCCTGGGTGCCCTCGTCACCTGCTCCTCCCCATTCTCCTTGGCCCTGGCCCCCATCCTGCTCCCCACCCTTTCCACCCCCGTCCCAGCAGGTACCTGACTTGGGGTAGGTAATGATGAAAATGTCGTCATCCCGGACACTGGCAGTGTTCTCTGCGAAGCTGATGCTTTCGGGGGTGTAGAGGCCCGAGGGGAAGAGGATGCCCTTGTAGCTGAAGTAATCCTTCGGCAACATGTTTCTGTAAGAGGGTGGGGAAACACCATGAGAATGGGGTGCAGGCTAGAACCAGGACACCCCTGTAAATTTGGGGGCAGCAGGGGCCAGCTTTTGAGCATTTTCTGCAGTCATGGTTGGGGGAGAGGATCCACTTTTACAGCTGAGGCCTCTGTGACGCATGGAGGGAAGTGGCAGAGGAATCTCTCAGGCAGGCGAGGGGGGATGAGGAGGGGCACCCCATCTGCCTAGTGGAACCCTGGTAAGAAGCTTTCTCCTTTTCCTAATAAACCTGCCCTTTAAAAATGTAACTGGGGGGCCTCCCCGGTGGCGCAGTGGTTGAGCTCTGGGTTGCGAGGCTGCCCGCAGCTTCTGCGGGGCTGGTTCGATCCCCGGCTGCTCCCCGGAGGAGGGTCCCACATTGCGCACAGACCTCTCCTGCCACCCACTGCTCCCCTCAGCAGTGTACCTCGGTCCTTCTGCCTGCTCTGCTCCCCGCTCTGGCTCTGGTGAATTCTCTCACCCTCCCGTGCTTCTGACTGTACCCAGTGCTTGTATAAATAATAAATAAATAAATAAATAAATAAATCTTTAAAAAAATAAAATAAAAATAAAAATGTAACTGGGCTTCCCCGGCGGCGCAGTGGATTTGTTATAGGACAGAGAGAGGGGCAGCCCAAACCCTGCAAACCTGCCTATTCTAAATGGGTTCTGCCACCCGCCGCATCAACACAAAACATGTGAGACTTTAATGGGAAGGAACTTTAAATACAACTAGGAAACAATACAGGAAAGGCAAAGAGTCTAGTTTCTAAATCAAGCACCCAAAGTGACCCGTCCCCTCGTGGGTAAAACTCCATCCAAATGGGATCGGCCCAGAGCAGGGCCCCAAAGCCTGCCCCAAGTCTAAAGCATCTTCCAGTGGGGACCCACAGAAAAGGGTCAGAAACAACCAGACAAGCCCGGAAGGAAAAGAGCAAAATCAACATCAAGATAAAAGCTGCCATGGTCACCTCCCCACGGGTCTCACCCACATCACTGTCGCCCAGTCCATGACCAAAAGACAAGCGCAGTTTCTTCACGTGTCTCTAGGCTCCACGCGCCTCCTCCAGGTCTCCTGGGTCCACCCTGTTTCCTTCCTCAGTCTCTTCTGCAGTTTCTCCTCTTCCTGCTCAGCTCCACCCTCCCTTGGGTGGGGCAGGGAACCTCCCCCTTTCCTGGGGGAGGATCTCTCCACCCTGTTACAGATTGAGCAAAGTGCTGTGAAGCTGTCTGCTGCTTCTGCAGTGCTGGTTCAATTCCTGCCCGGCCAGGGAGAGTCCCACATGGCATGGCAGACCTCTCCTGTCTCACCCACTGCCCCCCTTGTCAGTGTATTTCTGTCCTTCTGCCTGTTCTGCTCCCCACTCTGTCTCTGGTGAATTCTCTCACCCTCCCGCGCCTCTGGCTTTTACCCCAGTGCTTGTATAAATAAATAAATCTTAAAAAAAAAAATGTAATGTTCACCTGCCTGTGCTGTGCAAGCAAACGTCTTCATCTCCTGGGTAAACTCACCATGTGCCACTGAAAGGGGAACTCTGCCGAAACTTCTCAGAGAGACCCCAAAGACCCCACTCACTGAGCAACCAAAAGGTGAGTGAAGGATGGGGACCAAGAGGGCATCCTGAGCCCCTGCGTACAATTATGCGAAGTTCAAGCACAGGAAAAAGTAACCCGTGGTGCTAGAAGATGGGCTGGATTCTGGAGAGAGGGAACAGAGGATGGGGCTGTGCGGGGTTTGGGGGAGGCAGAGAGGGCTGGGTGTACAGCTTGACCACTTTGCAAAGCTCATCAACCGCTGCAATGAGTTTGAATTTTACATTTCACCAGCTGTGCAGCCTGGGGCAAGTCACTCAACCTTTCCGGCCTCGGGTTTTTTTATCCACCAAATGGAAGCTCATGATAACAGTTCCTTCATAGGGTTGTGAGCATGGTGAGAAAATTGCTTAGCATGCAATAAGCAGCATGCACATGTTTGTTAAAGGTTTAAAAATAAGGACAGAGCACAGAAACGGCTCATTGTCTACAGTCACGAAACCTGGACTAAGTTATTCTTGTTATTATACGCAGCAATAGACACGGCAGGGGGCTGCCAGGGTGTAGCGAGGGTGCACAGAAGCTTAGGGTGACAGCAGCTCCCTGCGGCAGGCTGTGGAATCTGTGATGTCCCTGGTTGCCAGGCAGATTTAGCCAGGAGCTCTGAGGTCATCAGCTACCAGGCAGATTAGCATTTAGGTGCCTGGGACCAGGCTGGCTTCCTTGGGTCACTTGTATCCTCTCTGTGTCCTGGGCAGTGGATCTCTCCTCTCTGAGCCTCAGTTTCCTCCTCTGTCACATGAGGGTAACAGTCATCTCCACCTCAGGGTTTTTTGTTGTTGTTGCTGTTTTACATGTGAAAGGGACAGGTTTATTAGGAAAAGGAGAAGGAGGCCTCCCTGGTGGTGCAAGGGGCTAAGTCTCAGCACTATGAAGCTACCCGCAGCCACTGCAGCACCAATTCCATCCCCGGCCAGGGGGCTACCCACATGGCGCCGCAGACCTCTTCTGTCTCCCCACTGCTCCCCTCAGCAGTGTATTTCAGTGGATCTGCCTGTTCTGCTCCCCACTCTGTCTCTGATGAATCCTCTTACCCCCACACCTCTGGCCTGTACCCCAGTTCTTGTATGCATGAATAAATAAATCTTTTTTTAAAAGGTTTATTTATTTATGCATATAAGAGCTGGGGTAGAGGCCAGAGATGCGGGGGGTGAGAAGACCCACCAGAGACAGAGTGGGGAACAGAACAGGCGGACTGACTGAAGTGCACCGCTGAGGGGAGCAGTGGGCAAGTCAGGAGAGGTCTGCTGCACCATGTGGGTGGCTCCCTGGCTGGCTGGGGATCGAACACGTGCTGCAGAGGTTGCAGATTGCTTCATAGTGCGGTGCTTAACCCCTTGCGCCACCAGGGAGGCCCCTAAATAAATCTTTTTTTTTTTTTTAAAGAAGGAAAAGAGAGCCATCTGCATAGTCATAGGTGGGCAGAGAGCTGCCTCCACCTCAGGGTTTTAATCCTACCTGAAGATTAAAAGGGATCAGATAAATGAAGACCCAGGAAATGGGTGCTCTCTTTACAGCATTATTTCAGTCTTCTCTCCCAACAGTTACTTGAGGGGGGATATTTCCTCCTGATGGCACAGAAAAGGGACACAGAGATGCCAACAAGGAAAACTTCCTGTGCCCTTGAAATATTCTGTGAATGAATAAATGTGAGGGTGTCCCCCCCCTCAACACCCTCAGCACTTACCCCCAAATCAGAGTCCAAGTCCCATCCCAAGTCATCCCAGGAATGAAACCCCTAGTGCTGGGACATAATTGCTGCTCAACCAGTATTTGACTGAATGAATGACTGTGTCAATGTATGAATGTGTGAATGAATGAAGGGGGTTGCACCCGGAATAGAAGGAAAGTCAAATACTCCTAATGTGGTTCTCCCCTGAGCGCTTCCCTTTGAAAGCCTCCCAAAGCCTGGTTCATCCCCAGCCCACAGCCTCACCCACTTATGGAGGCAGAGTGGAGTAGAACTTGGGTCTCCTCGCCTGTCAGGAAACTACAGATGAGAAGCTGGAAGGAGGGGAGACAATTTGGCCAAATACCAAGCAGAGCTGGGATTCGAACCTGGGCCCTGAGAAATCCCATCCCCTCCTTCCTGCTGTGCTCCAGACTCCATCTGAAGCTTCCAAAGACCTCAGCACTAGTCCCAGCCACGGGTCGCTGTATCTGCTGTTCCTGCTACGAATGTCATCTGCCTTTTTCTCCCAGCTTTAGCTTTGGAGGCTAAGTTGTTCCTCCCTCCACTTCCCAGTCCCACCACCATTATCTGGATCCTGCTTGGCTGGATTCTTACTGCATGTCCTGAGGCAGGTGCCCTGTGCCTTCTCACCCCACTTGGTAAATCAAATCTGGCCCTCAGGTGACCTCTGCTGCAAGCCCATTCCATTCCCAGGCTACTTTCAGAGCTGGGCATGCTGTGATCGCTCAATTAAAGCAGAGGAATGAGGATGACAACAGAGCTGGGTCAGAGTCACTGCAGACGAAGGGGGGCAGATGGAGCTACAGCTGATGTGATGGCGACTAGCTGAGAACTTGCTCGCCTCCCAGAAGTTTCATGGCCTGGTCTGCCCAGGGGGCCCTGAGACTCTGAGAATGTCTCAATGTGTGCGACTTCTTGCCTCCCACCCTTCTCCTTCTCCACTGCTGGGGGGTCCAGCTCAAGTCTCCTGCTCACTCCTGCATCCTCAACCCACCAGCCCCTCCCATCCATTCGCTCCTCCAGCAGCACTTAGGCCCAGAACTCAAAGGCCTACTTAGCCTGGGCGTGCCCATTCCTCAGCCTCCTCAAACCTCAGAGACCTCAGTCTGTATTTCCTCTGACCCCAGGGGGTGGGAGTGGGGGCCAGGGGAATCCCCACATATGGCACTTACCAAGGACAAGCTTTATCACAGATTCCCCCTGAACCCCATGAGGTGGGTATTGAGAACACCAGGTTATGCCAGAATAAATGGAGGCTCAGAGAGCTTTATCTATTCCCCCAGGTCACACAGTACCCTTCAGAGCAGGCCCCAGTAAATACCAGTTTATGAGTCTCCACCTTGCACCCTAGGGCCCTAGGGCATGGGGTGTCTGTCTCCTCAGTGTTCTGCCCCCATACCTGGCATGCAGCAGGTGTGCAATAAACAAACAGGCTCCCAGTTCAGATTCTTTGGGTGGGGGAGGGTCTAGTTAGTACACGCTGGGAGCCCCAGGGACAGGCAGCCCCGTTCATGGCAGTGAGAAAAAAGACAAACTGAAGTTGGGTAGACTTGGGTTGCAAGCCAGGCTCTGCTACCAGCTAGTTGTGTGACCTTGAACATGAGGCTTGATATCTCCTGGTCTCAGCTTCCTTGTCTGGGGAAGGAGGCTAGGAAGGTCTCCCTGGAGGGAAGCTGGTAAGGATTAAAGGGTGGGCT